GAGCGCAAAAACCGCAAAGAAGTAAGACTATACGCTTGTTTATGCCGAACATATACAACGGCATAAACATCTAAATTGAATGTTTATGCCGAACATATACAACGGCATAAACATCTATGTTGAATGTTTATGCCGAACATATACAACGGCATAAACATCTAAGTTGAATGTTTATGCCGAACATATACAACGGCATAAAAATTTATGACGTCGATATTCGACGTCATAAACACGTTCAACTTTGGTGTTTATGACGTCGATATTCGACGTCATAAACACGATCAACTTTGGTGTTTATGACGTCGATATACGACGTCATAAACACGATCAACTTCGGTGTTGATGACGTCCATATTTGACGTCATAAACGCCATCAACTTTGGTGTTTATGACGTCGATATGCGACGTGATAAACACCATCAACTTTGGTGTTTATGACGTCGATATTCGACGTCATAAACACGATCAACTTTGGTGTTTATGACGTCGATATACGACGTCATAAACACGATCAGCTCGACGTCATAAACAATCAACTTTGGTGTTTATGACGTCGATATTCGACGTCATAAACATTCAACTTGCCGGTGTTTATGACGTCGATATTCGACGTCATAAACACGATCAACTTTGGTGTTTATGACGTCGATATTCGACGTCATAAAAACGATCAACTTGGGTTTTTATGACGTCGAATATCGACGTGATAAACACGATCAACTTTGGTGTTTATGACTAAACACGATCAACTTTGGTGTTTATGACGTCGATATTCGACGTCATAAACACGATCAACTTTGGTGTTTATGACGTCGATATTCGACGTTATAAACACGATCAAATATCGACGTCATAAACACGATCAACTTTGGTGTTTATGACTAAACACGATCAACTTTGGTGTTTATGACGTCGATATTCGACGTCGTAAACACGATCAACTTTGGTGTTTATGACGTCCATATTCGACGTCATAAACACGATCAACTTTGGTGTTTATGACGTCGATATTCGACGTCATAAACCCGATCAACTTTGGTGGTTATGACGTCGATATTCGACGTCATAAACACGATCAACCTTGGTGTTTATGACGTCGATATTCGACGTCATAAACACGATCAACTTTGGTGTTTATGACGTCGATATGCGACGTCATAAACACCATCAACTTTGGTGTTTATGACGTCGATATTCGACGTCATAAACACGATCAACTTTGGTGTTTATGACGTCGATATTCGACGTCATAAACACGATCAACTTTGGTGTTTATGACGTCGATATTCGACGTCATAAACATTCAACTTGCTGGTGTTTATGACGTCGATATTCGACGTCATAAAAATTTAACTTGCTGGTGTTTATGACGTCGATATTCGACGTCATAAACATTCAACTTGCTGGTGTTTATGACGTCGATATTCGACGACATAAACATTCAACTTGCTGGTGTTTATGATCTCGATATTCGACGTCATAAACATTCAACTTGCTGGTGGTCTTTGCGTTTCGTATACACAAACCTGCTCGTATATATATATATATATATATATATATATATATATATATATATATATATATATATATATATATATATATATATATATATATATATATATATATATATATATATATATATATATATATATATACTTGAGGGGTGTTTGTGGGGGAGGTGTTACACCCCCAAAGTACAAATCATCTGGATTGGCAGGGCAAATCATCTGGATTGACAGGGCAATGAAAGATTTTAAATGATAGAATGTTGAATTATTAAGTAACTTGCAGGGCTTCGAGAGGGAATTGAATAGAATTTATAGACCTAAATTTTACAGATATTGGTAAAAAATTTTAACAGGAATTTGTCCGGAGAAAATATTTTCGCCGCTTTTTTGAATGTTCGGAAAAATAAATTTTTTCAACTCCACCCCCCCCCCCGGCTCGCTACCTTTTTTGGGGGAAATAGTGCCCAAAAAACAATTTTCGCTGCATGGCATCATCTATTTTCGCAGGGCAATTCTAGCAGACACCCCCTAATTAGAAGGGGCTAGTTTAGCCCCTGTAGACCAGGTTGGGAAAAGATTAACCCATTCTCTAAGGCATATGGAGCTTTGAGTGGAGGAAGGATAGCAGGAATGATATTTCAAATGGTAATCTATGTAGCCGGCTGTATAGGGGTATCATTGTCGCAGCTCTTGTGGCCTGCGCTAGTGCTGATATGTTTCCTTCGCCCGCAGGGTGGTTCTCTGGCTAATGGCACGACAGTCTACGGACGGGATGATGTTGACTCAGTCATCGTGGTGTGTTTTGACTATGGCTCCTCGGATACCAAGGAACTGCTGACAAAGCACAAGAAACAGAGCCGGAAGATCATGGATACGATCGAAGAGAGGTTGGTACAGCTATAACCTATAAGCAATCTCGAGTCACATAATAAATTATACATATATATCAGCAAATATCGCGATTATTAGATCACATTGTTATCGAAGGAACTAGACTCAGTTCCGAAATATCGCATACTCGAATCGTTCTGACCGCGTAGCTCAGTTGGCAGAGCATTGGGCTGGTATTCCAAAGGTCGTAGGTTCGATTCCCACCGTGGGCAGGCATATTTTTAAGCCTGCGCAGTGTGGATATACATCAAAGTAACATCACACAAGCAACAATCTAAATATAGTTGGTTTTTTTTGTAAAAAGGTTGGTGAACATGGTCTCGTTCGGTGTTGAAGTGGACGAGGTTACGGACAGCGGAATTGCGTGTACTGTTGAAATTCCCAGCGGACCTCTGGACGTGAGTGTCTACGTCATGGCTACGTTTTATGCTGACGTCACTAAGGGTAAAGAAAGATGTCTTGATTAAGGCTGATTTATCGACCCAAGTTTCTGTGATCACAGTAGGAATTTTGCATCGCTATATTAGCCATTCCGAAGTTGATGGGAGAACTAGGGACGAGTGTTAAAAAAGTGCCCAAATTAAGACTGAACCAAATGACTAAAACAACCACCTCAAAATTAGTAAGTATACAAAGTTTGAAGACGTTTACATGAATACCCTTCGAATAATTAGCTTTCAAAAATTGTGAAATTACTGATTTGGGACCCGCGTCCCAAAAACAAAAATTACAATACATTTCATAGTAAATATCACGATTTTCGAAAGCTTATTATTCGAAGGATATTCTTGTAAACGTCTTCAAACTTTGTATACTCACTAATTTTGAGGTGGTCTTTTTAGTTATTTGGTTCATTTCTTAATTTGGGCACTTTTTAACACTCGTCCCCATTCCACTCATCAACTTCGGAGTGGCCAATTGTAAGTTCCGAACGATTGTACGGAATTTTTGAGGGAAATTATTTCCACTCAAGAAAATTTTCCAGGGACAAAAAATTTTTCGAAAATATCATTGTTAAAATTTTCAACTTCAAAATTTTTTTCAGACGGAAAATTTGTGTCGACTAGTCACATTTTACATTTGCACCTCAATACTGAGTCGGTTGCTTCTGGCATTTCTTACAAATTCCTACTTTGATGACAGAAACTTTAACAGTACAAACCAACATTTAAAGCGTGATACTTGCCGATTGAGAAAGTATAAAAAATTAAAAATTTTGAGTTGCCGGTGCTAGTTATGAAATTCCATCGGCTGACGTTCTTGAAACTCTTGGTTGGGAAGCACTAGAAGTGAGACGTAAAATGAATAAAGCAATCTTAATGTATAGAATTTTGAATAATCAAGGTGCATCGAGTTTGAAAGAATCGTTCACTAGGATTAGTGCTCTGGAAATTAATTATAATCTTAGAAATATATTCGAGTACTGATTTGGTTCTCCCATGTACATCCCAAAAGAGAATTCCTCAAATGTAGCTTTAAATTTAGCGCGGGGCGAAACTCTGGAATAGCCTCCCTTTGCAAGCAAAACTAGCTCAATCTGAATATACCTTTATTAAAATGAATATCAATAGCCTTGATACATAACTTGCTTATTTTTTCGCTTGTAAATATTCTTGTAAATAACTTTATTTATTCAAGTGTGTTCCGACGCCTCTCATGGAAACCAGCTTGTAGCTGATGAGGCGTCGTTTTTCTTTTTCTTTTTGTTTTTAAATAAACGTTTACATACATACATACCTACATACACATACACCAGCATACATACATACACAGGTGGTATATCTTTTCCAGCTCTAAATTTATTCCCTGTCTTCTTTTTTTTTGCATTCAGTTGAAATCCGAAATGCAATCTACGAGCAACTGGGCGGTGCTTCCACGGAAGATGGCGAACTGCTTGGCTCAGCTTTGTCGCAACTTCAAGTAGACTTCATCAAGTCCAAAAACCAGCAACTCAAAAGCCTCATGAAGCTGGTCAAATTCTGGGCACAAAAGGGCTTTGTTGAAAAAGACGACCAGAACCTTCCGTCGCCATACTTGCTGGAGCTTGTGACAATCTTTTGTTGGGAGCACGCAAGTAGTCCTGAAACGTTCAAGTTTGCAAGCGCATTTCGAGCTGTTTTGCTCACGTTGAAAGACCACAAGTCGTTGAAGGCAGTATGGAATGATAACTATAGCTGGGATAAAGCCCAAGAAGTTACTCACTTGGAAAGGTTAATGTCTAGTGAACAGTAATATGCTAGCTTTTGAAAACAAGTGCACTTGTAACCGGCTTTACCTTTGTGTTTATAGTCTTCTCTGGGGGGGGGGGGGCAGTTTCCCCCTCACCCGCTGTGTACGGCCCTGTATATTTTCAATGAGAACTATTCATTTATGGCGGGGGGTGGCAACGAAGTGAAAATGGTTGGGTAACAAAAAACTGAGTAAGTAAAACAGAAAAAGGTTGGGTAAATTGAAAAACAAATCAATTCAAAGGTTGGGTAATAAAATTTATTTATTTCCAAAGCTTGACTCGCTCAAATATTGAAGACTACAGTCATATTGGCAAGCAATTGATCATTTTCCACCGCTTTGTCAGGAGGCAAATGATGTCCCCAAAGAAAATAGACGTGCAGACAACATTAAACTTTAGTCTTCAGAAAATTGCACAAGCAGTCATCAAATTCGTGTCACAGAAGTGGTAAAGAACACGTGTGACAATTGAATGGTAATCCTTCTGTAAAGTTTTTGGTCAGGGGCAAGGGTGGGTTGACTACAAAATTTGTAGTCAGCTACAATTCAAAAATATGTAGTCAGCTACAACTACTGCTACTTTTGAACAAAGGTAGTTCGCTACTGACTACAGCTACTGCTTCAAAAATGTAGCGACTATTTCACTATTTCGCTACGCTATATTTTTTAGTTTTACTGTATTTGGAGCATCTACTAACTCAGGGCTGAAATGTAACCTATAACAAATCGACTTACGAGTAGCAACAGTAAACACAAAGCAACATTTTCGTAAGCACTACGGTGTTCAAGAGTGCAAATAGACTATTGAGTATTGATTTTAAGCAAACCGTGTCTCAATATCATTCTACTCTATCAAGTTGCTAACAATTTTAAAAAGTAGCGAATAGCGATTCGCTGTTTGAAAAGTAGTCAACTACTTAGCTACTTTTAGGCAAAATGTAGTTCGCTATAACTACAGCTACTGTTTTAAAAAAGTAGTCAAAAACTACTGGCGAACTACAACTACTTCGCTACTACCCACCCTTGGTCAGGGGTGGGTTTTTATATATATTGTTGAATTGATATTTAAAGTTGGGTTTAAGTAATTGACTTTTAACGGTGTATTTCAGAACCATCCTCAGAGATACGAAAAAACAGTTTCATATTATGCTGGAACAGCAAAATTTTTGGATCAAACTTGGATGAGCAAAATGTTTACCAAGAAAACCTTTTAGGTGGCACATCCTGACATAAATAACGACCGGTCCCAAACTAGAAAAGTTATAACCAGAAAAGAGAGTGGCAATTTGAAACTTGTAACTTAGTTTCGTTTCTTTCCAGGCCCCCAATTGTGATGGATCCCGCAAACCCGACCGTGAATCTGTGTCGTGACTGCAACGCTTGGGACGAGGTCGCACGTGGCGCTGACCAAACACTGAAAGCTCCGCTGCTCAGGGAAATTTCGTCACCTAAGAGTGTTTGGAGTTGAAACCGATGAAATTAAGCAAAGTCGTTTGGGATGTTCTGTTGGGTTCGAAGAAATAATTCCCAATGTTTCCTTATAATTTTAAGCTTTTTATGCCCCAGGCTGAGTGG